AGTAAGTTGGGTACGTCTATCTTGAAGAAGAAGAAGAAGAAGAAGAAGAAGACAAAGTGAGGGATCTAGTTTGAAGTGGGTTGTTTGGGAAAGAAAAAGGGATCGTGGTTTGAAGATGGAATAGAAAAAGGGATCTGTTTTGAAGTGGGATTTTTGGGAAAGAAGGGATCGAAGATGGAATAGAAGGCAGGGGAGGAATAGAGGTGAAAATTTTAACAAAAAAAATTAAAATTAAATATGATGTGTAATTATTAAATAATTTTAAAATTATGACGTGTCATTTTTGGCTTATTTGGTTCTGACGTGTTCGTTGAGTTGGCGCCTAGTCAGCAAACCATCAAATAAGTTGACGGTGTTAATAACACCGTTAAAGTATTTGACGGAAATGACTATATTTGTCATACAATAACTTTAAAAGCTGGCTATAGGTGGTATTTCTCCAAATTTGGCTATTATTAGCATAAACGTGAAAGTTTTAGCTATACAAATGTATTTTGCCTTTTTGAAAATCAAGAATGGAGCAAAGTCAATGATTGGCGGAGATGATAAAGCAAGGGCTCACGACGATAGAAGTTATTCTTCAAGGGCAAGCACGAATGGCCGAACGATGGGACACCAAACTTGCTCGATTGGAAGCTTTGTTGGGGATTACTGCGCCAGCAATGGTAATCCCACCCGAAACACCTTTGACGATGGGGAATCCAAATCTAGAGCAAGATCAACCGTTTGAGCCTACCATTTAGATACAAGAGAAAAATCCAGAAGTTGATATCGAGAGTCAAGCAGATTAGCTACAAGATTATCATAGCACGACGACGTCAGCATTAATTAAAGAGAAGAAAGAAGATGTTCTTGTGGATGTGCCATAATTGGGTGCACTTGAAGTTGATCAATTTGACGAGAGGATGAATGCATGAAAATTCTTGAAGATTCATCAATTGTTCCAGAATATGATCATACGGATTTCGTCATTGGAGATAATTTTTCTGAAGAGGAAGCTCGTATTGAAAATCGACGAGAACTTCAGAGCTACATGGAGGGTTTTCATCAAAATCGAGTCTCTACAATTTGTGGACGAATTATTCTTAAGAAGGGGGAATAATAAAATCCTCACTACCAAGTCAATTCCGTTGGAAGACCAAGAATGTGGGGGCTGACCAGATATCAAGATTCTTTAAAGAATCTAGGTCGAATCTTCTTCAAGAGAGATAGAATGATGTGATATCGACTAGAACGATATTCAAGTATATCTAAAAGGTTTTTTTCTGATTCGTCAAAGACTCGAAGTATATCAAAGTATATCTAATAGGTGTGAAAGAATACGTACATTCATAATACGCTATTAGATATACTTTGATATACTTCGAGTCTTTGACGAATCAAAAAAATCTATTATTATTTTTAGCTCAAATGAATTTCATAGTTTGAGTTTAGAGAAGTAGGAGACTGAGGTTTACCCATAAGAGATTAGGATAGTATTATGAATGATTGTTTAGTTGTATAAATAAAAAATATTTCGATTAACAACATATGCAACAAATGTATTTGCAAGTACACTTTAGAATATAAAAAATCGTGGTGCATCGTGGTAAAGATAATAAAATTTTAAAATAATGCGAAGCATAGTCAGCATAATTGATGAAGTAAATGTAACTAGGGGTGGCGATACGGTCCGGTCCAGTTAAATTGGCCCGAATTGATCCGGTCCAGTCCGGTCTTTTTGAAAATATGGGGACCAAAGTTTGGATTGGGTACAGTCCGGTTTTGACCCGGTCCGGTCCCAATCCGGTTTTGACCTGTTTTGACCATGTTACAGAAAATTCAGCAGCATATACCTATTTTCCTGGAATGTAGACAACCTGTTTGTAGCAAAAATCCGACCAAATAATTAAAATACCACTTACCCAGCTGCTGCTCCCTTCCATTTTTCTGAGTTCGTCGGAGCAGAGGCGGGCGGCGGGCTGCGGGCGCCGAGTGCGGGCGGCGACTGTAGCGGTTCGGGCTGGCAGCGGGCTGCGGACGATGGACGAGAGACTGCGGCGGGCTGCGGCTGTTCGGTTCGGGACGACTGCCGACTGGACGTGGACGAGAGACTGAGAGAGGCGCCTTCTGCGACTGCAAGTCTCCACTATCCAACCCTAAACAAAAACAAAAGCCAATTAGTCATTATGGGCCGGCGGGCTGCAGGGGGAGTGGGCTTGTTTGGGCCCCTTATGGGCTTTGCCTTTGAGTCCTGGTTTGATCTGTTTTTAATCATCTGGTCTTCCGGTTTTTACACGGTTTTGACCCGGACTGGATTGGTCCGGGTTTTTTTGCTAATTATGAGACCAAAGACGGGATTGGATTGTTTTACATCCGGTCTCGATCTTAAAACGGTCCGAGTTTTACGGTCCGGTTTCTGATTTTTAATTCGGTCCCGGTCCAAATTGCCAGCCCTAAATGTAACAGCACAGTTAAATTCCCAAATAGGAATATGGTTGTAAGACATAGCAGGTTTTTATTTTAATTATGTTTCTGTTTTTTTTTTTTTAGGAATCACTAAAGGGATTTCATTAAAATCAAATCACAGAGCCTCAGCGGCTACAGCATCAGCAACCATAACAGGCAGATGACCATTGTCAAAATACATTTCATCTTCAACATTCTGTAAATGGGCTAAAAGATGGGCTGCATTGTTTGCTTCCCTGTAGGTGAATAGCCATTCTCGAATATCCATTTCTTCAGCCTCCTTCAATATCTCAGAACAAAGAGTCCCCAATTCCGTTCTGTGTTGAGCTCCCTTCTTCAAAATCTCTATAATCTTTCTGCAATCTGATTCCACCACAAACGGCCCAACTCCTCTCTGTTTAGCTGTCTGAATACCATGCAATATTGCTATACCTTCAGCCAAATCCGGAGGCCATCTTACTCTTATTCTTTTGTTTGCAGCAAAGATTGGAGTTCCTTCCCAGTCTCTCATAATGCATCCAAGCCCCACTTCACCTCTATTATTCATCCCAGCATCCGTGTTCAGTTTCAATATACCCATTGAAGGTTTTTTCCACTTGCTGTTTTCCCTTTGGCCGCCTCTTGTCTGTGTACGATCCTTCCCCTGTACTTCAAGGAAACAGTGTATGAATTCATCAGCTCTAGGGAAAATCTCCCATTCCTCCATAAATTTCTTGTTGAAAATCACATTGTTCCTGTCCTTCCAGAAGAACCAAAGTAGCGAACAAAGCTGTGCCACCTCCTTGTCCGAGTAGTTTTTCAAAACCATGTTGAGCCACTGCTTGCAAGTATTACCTTCAGCCTTATAAAAAATCTCAGCCAGGGGAGTTTTACTCCATATCCTACTGTTCCAGCAGCAGTCAATCAGGCAGTGCTTTATAGTTTCTTTAAGCCCACAGTTGGGGCATTCGTCCCCAAGGTTCTTGACCTTCCTGCTAATTCTTGTTCCCACAGGGAGGATGTTATGAACTGCTTTCCAAACAAAAGTTTTCAACTTCCCAGGCATATTAATCTTCCATAGGGTCTTCCAACTAAAACCTTCTTCATTTCTCCCTCCCTCATCTGCAGTCTCTTCCATCTTTCTCTTCTGCTCAAATACATATCCAGATTTCACAGAGTACTTACCATTTTCTGTTTCTGTCCAGCAGAGGACATCCCTATCGATAACTGATGCAAGGGGAATAGCCTGGATTGCCTGTCTCTCTTCAGGGGTGAAGATTAACTCAAGGATGTCTTGTCTCCACGTTCTAGTATCTTGATCAATGAGGCATGAAACTTTGGCATCCCACTCCAAAAACGGGCTATAAGAGTAGACTTCATGATTTTCCAAATTAGGGACCCATTTATCCCCCCATATCCGAACCTCCTCCCCTGATCCTATTCTCCATCTGCTTCCTGCTTTTAGTAGATCTTGTGCTCCCAACAGACTCCTCCAAATGTAGCTAGGTCTCCATCCCAGTTTAGCTTCCAGGATTGTTGTTTTTGGATGGTATTTAGCTTTGATCAATCTAGCAACCAAAGAAGATGGTCTCGTATGCAGATTCCAGAGCTGTTTAGCCAACATAGCCTTATTGAAGACCTTGAGATCCCTGAACCCCATTCCCCCTTCAACCTTCTGTTTGCACAACTTTTCCCATTTTTTCCAATGTATCCTTCTCTCTGAGCCTTTCTGCCCCCACCAGTAATTAGCCATCAAGCTGTGGATATCGTCTATTATGCCATCAGGGATTTTAAATACAGACATCGCATAAGTCGCTTGCGCTTGAGCCACACTTTTGATTAAGATTTCTTTCCCGGCGTCACTGAAGTACCTGCTTTTCCAGTTGGTCAGCTTACTTCTTACTCGTTCCTTCAGGTTCTGAAAGACAATCTTCTTGGATCTCCCCACCATTGTTGGCAATCCCAGATATTTGGCCAGCTTGTCCACTTCCTTAATACCCATTTCAGAGCATATTTCCTTCCTTTTATCCTCCTTAATGTTGCTGCTGTAGTATATTTCTGACTTCGTGAGATTCACCATTTGCCCTGATTCATTTTCGTACAACTTCAGAATTTCTTTCAGCTTCTTTGCTTCATTGATGTTCGCCCTAGCAAAAAGAACACAATCGTCGGCAAACAGCAAGTGAGAAATAGTGGGCGCTCTATTACAAACTTTAATTCCATGAATTTTTTATTTCGCCGTTAGTGTTTCTAATTGAGTGAAACTTTCGTTAGGCTTTTAATAGTACCATTTAATAAAGAGGGAAAAAATGATAAGCCAAGCAATCATATGTTGCCGGGTGGATAGGCTGCAGGCTATCCCTACAAACTAGTTTGCACGTAAATATCGTCCTTTCGAAAAAGAAAAAAAAAAACGCAAGAGCGGAGTAAATCCATGTAAGAGAAGGCTTTTGAATTAATGATTGAAGGCCAAGCCCGCTGAAAACAGAGGCCCAATCTAAGTCCAGCTGCATCCATGAATCCATCAATGTTACTATAAAACAAATTGCGTCGCTTGCCGCATAGGGTTAGGTCACAGATCTGAAGAACAGATCCAGACCGAAAATTCTCGAAAACCAGCGGCCCTCGCGGACGAACTCAATATTCTGTTGCTGCGGTTGCTGCTAGGGTCTAGAGTTGGGGTTAGGATGTCTGTGGATTCTTTGGTATGCGTCCACACCAAGGAAGAAGGATCGAGAGTTGGGTTCCCTGAGTTTAAGCGGAGTCGTATAGACGAGGTGTGCTCAGCTACTGACGATGTAGGTGATGATGCTCCATCGAGGTACAAGTTGGCGATCAGGCGGAAACCGAAGCAGGAGCATTGGTGGGATTTTGGGATGGTGTTCTCTTCGATAAGTACTGAAGAAGTGACGGTGGATCTGATGAATATCGAGGAGTGTCTAATCGATAGAAGGGTCGCGACCTTGCACGAAAGCATGGGTATAGGTATGAGTTTCGCATTGGTAGATTTGAAACTGTATGGTTTTGGTAATTTCCCTAAGATGGAATGGGAACCTGAATCTGTAGATTTCTTTGTCTGTGATCTCAACGACAGGAGCTATCCCTACGAATTTTGCAAGGCAGGTCAGCTGAATGGACCTAAGATATGTCCTATTGTTATTCCTTTCCCGGAAACAAAGCAGATTTTAATCATCGCAACTGGTCGTTTTCGATGTGGAGATGGTCGAGAGCTACCCGTAAAGGGTCCGTATTGTGAGCTTTTAGATCTCCCATCGGAAGACAACGGAGGCCTGTATAAATGTAAAGCTATATCTACCCCTTGGGACGACACCTATGGTTCTGTTTACCTTGGTACTCCTGATTCCAAGGCTCATGCTGTGGTAGGGAACCTTCTCTATATCCAGATTATTGCTGGCGAATGGAATTTTGAGCTACGTCTGTTCTGTTTCGACATGAAGACCCATAAGTGGTCCGAAGTAGAAGCACGTGCACAATGTCCTTTTCTACAGCCCCTTGATGGATTCTGGAGATCTTTGAATGATATTTCCAGGGACAAATTGTTTGTAGCGCATGTTGATAGATCTGATTCCGAGTTAACGCTCTTCGTTGGGGTTACGAGTTTGGCGGATTTGAGTAAGAAGACTTGCCATGGAAAACTAGATCATCGTGAGCATCTCAAAAGGATTGTCACAGCTCTGCCAACGCTAGAAAAACTTCTGACTGATAAATACTCCGAGTATATTAGTGGTGCGGGGTGGGTGATGCCTTTGTTGCCTGATGATGATAACTCGTTCTGTCTCTTTCTGTGGTTAGAAGGTTCTAGTATAGCTGAGCACCTCGTGGCCTGCAAGTTTAAGTTGTGGGAAGGCCAGCAGCAGAACTCTGATGTTGCTGCCATGGACGCTGACAATGATATTGGTACCCCTCGCGAATCAAGCTATGACTGTGAGATCATGTCGCATACACTATATGCAGACCCTTTCTTACTGGATCGTAATCCATTGTATGCCTTTACTCCTGCTGCCAACTACCGTAAGTTCCTTTCTTCTTCCTGTTCTTACACTTGTTATTGCATCTACATGTCTGCCTGTGTATGCTTTTCTCATTATCATCCTTTTAACAACTCACTGCTCAATGATTGTCTCATCCTGTAATCAGCTGTGCAATCTCTGTAGACTTGTTGATATGGACTTCCAGAGGGTATTGTCATTGTGCTATTATTGGTAAGCCGTTCACCACTTATTATCTAGTAGCTTTCTATATCATGACATTTTCTGCAGCTCTTGTTTTGCTTTGTTTTTCTCTGGTTTGTTTTCTTGTTGGTTCTGTTCATGGAGGGTGCAGTTTCTATGAGGTTCTCTAGTTGTCGGGGATAACTGATCTCTGTTTTGCTCTATTCCTTTCTCTCCCAGGTGCTGTTCATCATGTTGGCCAAGATGCTCTCTACAACTGGTTATGCTGCCAAAGCCAAAAGGAATCCTAATCCTAACAATAATATATGGAGGTTCTTTGCTCGAACCCCCTTAATCCCTCTTTTCCTCCTGTATGCGCAGTCCACGGAAGGATACTTTGGTAAATATATCTGTACAATTATTGACTGAACTGGGCTAGGCCCATTCTTCTTTTTCTTGCAAACTTGGGACACGGAGAAAATTGAACGGACATGGAGAGAATTGAGCCGGAGGATTCTTTTGGAGGACAACCACAGCACTTGAGCGGCACAGAGTAGAAGCTAATTATATGAGCACCAATATTTATGGGGTTAATTCACCACTGCCAATCCGAATAATTATATAGGGTTTGTTAAAAAAATTTAGGCGGCTATTTGGTAGTTTCAAGGCCGAATTCCAAACACCAAAAAAATAAAACCAAAACCAAAAAATAAATACCTCATTAAGCTAATCTTTCACCCCTAAACTTTCATGATTTAGTCATGGCGATACTTGAACGATACTTCAATCATACCATCACACAAATTCATATTTTATTGTTGTCACGGTACATCAACTGATTCCAGTCATAAAATCGGCATGAATACCAGCGATCAATGCAGTCAAAAGCGGGATTCTACCTAGAAGCGGTTGCGTGACCTAGAAGCGTAAAACTGTAAACTTTTAAGTTTTAAAGCTAAGGTTTTGACTACATAGGTAAGGGAAAATCACCATTCTACATAGAAGCGTTTTGTTGACCTAAAAAGGTAAAAGCGTAAGCTTTAAAGTTTTAAAGTGCGATTTTGACTATATTGCCAGCGATACAACCGACATGATAAATTTACAATTTTTAAATAAAATGGCGTTTTAGCAAAATGAAATTAACAAAATAATTTATTTATGATTTCTTCCATGAATATGAGATTTAAATGTACCTTAAGGTATTTTTTTTAATTCACATGGGCTACACAATAGAAAAGGGAGGACAGATGGGGCTTAGCTCAATAATTTTAATCCATACAGGCCATAGAGAACAAAAGGGTTTAATTAATGAAGGCCCGACTTCTTCAAAGTATGTGTTTGTTAATGCAATTTAAATTTATACTATAATGTTAAAAATACAAGTTTATTTTGTATTATAAAGTAATTTGTACAAAATTGTATATGTGCAAATTGTACCATAATGTTAAAAATTATACGTTCAGTTTGTATCATAAATGAATTTGTACGGAAAGATATAGATACAAATTAAATTTGCACCATAACAATAAAGTGCAGTTCAGTTTGTACTATAAAGAAATTTGTGTGAAAATGTATAAACGCAACTTGAAATTGACTATAACATTAAATTATAAGTTCAATTTGTACCATAAAGAATTTTTTTAAAAGAAAACAACCGATGATATGGTGCACCGTAAAATTCATCTATGTATTTATTAAAATTATTATTAGCTCTATTTCATTGTATCATTTAGGCAATTTAGATTATTATTAATTTATTAATAGATGAGGTTTATAATTCAACGTGAATAATCACTCCCTTATTGATTTTTAATTAGTCATATTTCATTTGTCCTGATTTAAATAATAAAATTTTCACTAAAAAATCAAATAATTATACTACATAGAATAATATTCATTTTGGGTAGCTTTTATACCGCACTCACAAAAAGGAGTGCATACTATTCACCCAACTCTAAAAATAGTTTAAAGGCGCATGGTTTAAATTCTAATTGATACTATTAGTCTAATTGATACTATTTCAACCCTAACCCTACACCCCAAATTGTAAACCCCAAACTCCTAAATCCTAAATCATTCAAATCAAAGTAAATCTTGAGTGATGTTTTTTAAATTCGTGTATATTGTTGTCCATCATACAAGTAATGATTAAAATCATTTTGACATGAATCGCTTACTTAGAATGCCAATTATGAGGCGAGTGCATATCATACACCCAAAAAAGTGTGTGCACCGAAGATGAAACCTTCGTTTTGACATTTTTTGGAATAAAAATAATATGTTATTCTAGCATCATATGACATCATCTACGATAGCATTCATGGAATAAAAATAATATGATAGCATTCATGAACTATCAGTTCCTCTATAATGGTACCTGATCTATAAGTCAATTCCTAATCATCCCAGCCATCAATTTTTCGCTTGATTGTCATGAAAGTGGGTATCATATTGCTGACTAGACTTTGACTAAGATCCCAACCTTCCTAAAGTCACCTTAGAATGATCATGATACTTCCACTTAATTCATGATTTATAAATCGGTAAATAAAATCTGCCTATATAAGAAGAAAACAAAAGACACAGACTTATTGGAAAATAGTCAACCCCTAAAGGTTATTTATTTAGTTTTTAATCTATAAAGTATCAAATTTTGTGGTGATAGCTATATTGTGTATTATCCTTGGGGAAAGAATAAATCTCATAAAATGTTCTTGAGACATATATTCTACTGTATGGAATGTTTAGTGTTTCAAAATACTTTGCTATAAAGGATTAGCTTTCTAAAAAATAGAAAAGAAAAAGAGAAGGAACAAATTACTATAAAGATAAAGGTTTCATTAAAGAAGAAAAATGCACTGTATTTGGTGGAGATGATGATTCTTTGGAGGGTGGAAGAGAAGCGATCACGTGGAATCTAAAATGAAATGTGTAATAATTTGTTACAACGAGGAGCAAATAGTGTAGTCTGATTGAATCTTTAGGACTCAATTTTCTTGCCTTATTTTGTTTTTTTTTTTACTTTCAATAAAGACTTTAGCAAAAAATCGGGATGGCATGTTGAAAATTATAAGAGTATGATCTTTCCGATAATTAAATGATTTGAAATTTTTTATGGGATGAAATAAAAACATGTCTTACTTTGAACAATTACTATGTTTATTTATACTATTAACAAAATTTATCCGGCCAACGGACAACCCCAATCTAGTGTAGACTTTAATGTATTTGACATTTGTGGGTTCTGTAACTTGTGGATTTGGTTTGATATCTCTGATTCCCTCAAGTTTTCCTGGTGGTTCATTTTGCTTAATGAACATGTTAATTAAGTTGGCAGACATTGACTGATTAGCTAGCTGGGAGGAAATCAGTTGGGAGGACTTGTCAATCTCCCAACTAGTTGTCGGAAAAAGAAACAATATTTTAAGAGCAATGCTCGTTCCACTATCTTCATACTTTGCGGTGTGTTTACTTCCTGCAATGTGGTTGTATGCATCTCGCCATTCTATACCTTGCTATCATATTATTCGTTGCTCTTTAATGTGTATCACAAAAGCTCACTTCAGCCGGTCACACACACCAAGTCCATCCAAAAGTCTAAGAAGCACTTCGTATTTCAAGTTCTTGCGCCGTCTCCCTCTTAGTTTATGTCCAAGGTTCTTCTGTTTTCTGTTTTAGCCACGGTCCAGTTCTTTTTGGTGAATAGATGATCGTAGCGTCCCATGGCTGGCCATTTCTTGCTACTTTGTGTGTAGTTGAACTCGCAACGTCTGCAATTAGAAGAACTACGCTTGGTCATCTTGTATTTGTTTCTCTTCTATCATGAAACCAGTATGTAACTTAAGCCATAATGTTTCCAGGCATAGGCCATATTGTAACACCTGACCGACCATAAGCATAGATTGACCAGCGTCTATTTTTTTGCTGTCCCCGAACCCATGATTTCACTCTGATTTTTGTACGACTTAATCATCGATTTTGTCATTCATTCTATGCTTTCCAAGATTGATCTTCCCTCTTCTCACAGCCACCTATCCTCTTGGGTAGTAATGTATCTATCGACCAAACCCTATGGTTCTTTTATTAATTTATTGGTAAGTCCTAACCATGGAACCTTTGCCTTTAAATTCAGCCATTTTCCTCTTTTATCCCGTTTCCCATTCCCGCTAATTCTCGTTATGGCCATGAGAACAAGGGAGGTTAAAGGGTGGATTTGATCATGGAGAGACATCCAATCCACCCTAAGATTTCTAGCCAACAAGAAAAACCAGACATCAAACTCTTACTGTTCCCTTCAATATCCAATTCTTGCCCTTCATAAGATTCCTTATTCCAACAATACATCTGCTTAAATAGACTAAACTAAGCTCAAAATAACCAACAGATGATTTACTGAACTTAATCTTTCTAGTTTAGGATAAATTTTTGGCTTAATTCACCTGTATAATCATAACTTTCGCGTTTTTGACAATAATAACCACTTTTGAAAAAATACACAGTTATAGCCATTCTGTCCAAAGCTTTAACAGTATATTCACAAATGCTGACTAGACAAACGTTTATGGTAATGCAGAGACTTTTCGTCAAACCAACTTCGAGGTGTAATGTTGACTTTTTATTTTAATTATATGAGAAATAAACTAAAATATAAATATAAAAAGGAAATGAAATGAAAAAATTGGTTAGTCTTCTTTGGCCCCTCTCATCTCTCTTCATCTCCTTCTTCATCTTCTCCTATGGCTAGGCTTCTGCGCAGCCTAGAACCCCACTGTCAAAACCTAGAGAAAAGTCGAAGAGATCAATGTAGAAAAACCCTCACCGGGCGTCGTAGCGAGTGTGCGGGACTAGCGTTGGCTGGAGGGACAAAAGTACAGAACCCTAGACTAAGGTTCTCTCTCCCTTCTCTCGGCCACCGTCCGAGTTGCAACCGCCGCACAAATTGAAGCTCACCGAATCCATTCAATCGACGACAAAAGCTCACCTCCACCGAAAAGCCTCCGTCGTCTCTCTGGATCTCCTCCTTGACTTAAGGTTACAGATCTGCTACCGCCGCTTCCACTCTCCTTTACCGACAATCCACAGCGTTGCCGAAGAGATCAAGCAACAAGGGGACTGTCAGGCCGGTGGCAACAGCAGTCGTTCCTTCTCTTGTCTGTGACCTCTCATATCTTTAATCCCCTCAACAAGGGTTTCGTCTGAAAGCCGGGTGAAATCGACGAGAAGGTGAGTTGTTGCTGGTGGTTTCACATCTGGATTCCCGATCTGGGTTGTTGCTTATGGTGTCGCATCTTCTAGGGTGTACAAAGAGTGCGCGGCGATGGAGTTGGAGCTCCGGTGACAACATACTCCTATATCGTGCCCTTCTCTCTTTCATCCCCCGGACCCCTGTCTTTCGTTCCTCCCAACCCATCACCACCACCACCGTGATTGATTTTGAAACCAATCACCACCTTCGTCGTCTCCTCCACTTCGATTCAATTGAGGGTCTAGCTAATAGAGATTTGAAAGGAGGAGGGTTTGGGAAGGGATAACCAAATCTGAAGAACTCGAACGAATTCCAGCGATTCAGTACTTTCTAGATGAATCGAGCGCCTTTACCCAACATACCCATCGGAAAACCTAGATCCGATTGACAGAGAAGTTTGGAGCTCCGGGGAGATGGGTTTAGAAACGATTGTTGTTTATGAAAATTAAATTATTTATTTAATTTAAAAATATGATGCGGCAGCCAGGTGGCTTGATTTGGTGTGTTGGAGCTGATGTTGAGTTGAGGGATAGCCACATCAGCGTCTTGCTAACGGTGTTAAAATTTTTGACGGAAATGGCTAATTTTGGCAAACAAGTTTCTAAAATGTGGCTACAATTGTATATTTTTCAAAAACTGGCTATTATTGTCAAAACGTGCATTGTTATGGCTATGCAAGTGAATTAAGCCTAAATTTTTTAAGAGGTTCGAACCAAGGAATTTCGAATAATAAAATTAATAAAATATTGAAATAGTTTGAATTGAAATCAAAGAAATTTTTATTCGATGTAGTTGTTGGAAATAGTGTTTGCATGGATAATTTTGGAGATTAAATTTCATGTTTATTATTGTAAACGATGGAGTCGACAAATCATGCTTACTTATACGAGTATTAAGATGGAAAAAATCAAGTTACAAATATTGTGAATTTCATGGACTTAAATTTTAACTTTCATCTACGTGGCAGAGCTAATTGAAATACAATTTTCACCGCTTAATTTTTTGCCCAAATAGCTCAATCGCGTTAAGTTCTTGATTAACTGAGAAAGAAATTCAAGCTTTTAGGGAGACTACAACTTACTAGCAGGTTCATAGCACAATTGATCACCATCTGTGAGCCGATTAACAAGCTGTTGAGAAAACATAACCCTAAAACGTGGACACGCGAATGCCAAATGGATTTTGACCCGGAGGAACCGGGTTAGGTTCTTTATACCAAGGCTACAAGTTAGGATCTCTATCCCGGCCTCCTGAGTATTTGAGGGAGGAGAATCTCATTACCGCAGACAGTGGCATAGCCAGAAATTCTTCTAAGGTGGGTCAAACGTGGGAAAAAAATATAACTACGTTTCATAATGTGTTTATGTTTTGAAAATTTTCTAAAATACATTCATCATGCAAAATGTTAGATACCACAGTAAAAAAAATTGTTGATGATTATTCCACAACTTATCTTATTTTGAAGAATTTTTGTACTTTACTTATTGTAGTTAGTGCTCTTTCAAACACTTGCAATGGCAACCGAAAGAAACAAACACCCCTAAGTTTCAAATTTTGGTTTATATTAAACTCACTTACAACAATATGGAAATCTTGTGCTCAATCAACTATCATATAAACAAAGCTACTCCAAATTTTTGGGCCAAGGTGGTTCAAATGACCTACCTTGGCCTCAAGTGGCTCCGCCACTGACTGCGGATACAATTATCATTTGTCTACCTACACATTCTCAATACATATAACTTAAGAAGCTCCATTATTATCTTGATTCATTTACTAACATATTAGTTTTGATATAATTAAGCTGACTAAAAACTTATGCGAAACATATTTATGTGTTGATTGCAAGTAACGAGTTTGGAGTTATTAAGTTGTTTTGAATAATTTAGGTTGAAATTGAATCGAGTAACGAGTTTGGAGGTCAAATTGAGTGCGAGTTCAAAATGGATCGTCCATCTCAATAAATCAATTTCTACATCACATTTCTATTATTTATTTGGTCAGATTGATTCAATAATCTTAACTTCAATAACAAATTTGTTAAAAGTCAAAGCTTAGTAATAAATTTGTTAGCTTCCAACATTTAAGTGGCCATTTCTGCAACTAACTACTCAAGCAGCTACCACACTGAGCAACTCCGGGAAGAAAGTCTGGTTGTATAGTTTACCGTCGGAACGGCAGCAACATGTTCGTAGAAAGGAGAGATGGTTGGCATCTCCCCTGACAAGGACGGGAATGGCTTTCAGGCCTTCTTATTACCAACACACGCGGTTAAGGCTTCCCACTCTCGTAGTGGATCTTCAACCCAATTTTTTTTGTTGAACTTCTATTGGCAGCAGAATCTGCGATCTCTCTCTCTCTCGGTGTGGAAACTCGGAAATGCGGGAAAATTCGTTTCTCTTCAGTAGTTCTTTTTCACTTTAAATGAGCTATGTTTGCTGTGCGCGCTAGAGATGGTCTGTAGGGTGCTCTCTTAGATCAGTGGGTTTTCTTTCAATTTGAAATATTGACGTCAATTCACCTGCACAAGCTCTCCATTCAGGACAGATTTCACGTTCAATCTGTCGTTGCATCAGGTATAGTTTGTGAAGGAAAGGTATGCACTCCACCTGCTTGATCAAAAGCTTCTACGAAGAACATTTGTATTCCTCAGCAAGACTTTTCTGGAACTTAGTTGCCCTTTGGAATCCCCAGTTGGTTCATTGCAGAAGTGTAAAACACTCTCAAAATGGATAAAACCGTGTACCTATGTGAACACCACCTCTTCAATTCCCTACAATAATGCTGATTACCACTCCATCCCCTCTCTCAACCAACTATTGGTTTCTTGTTCCTCTCTGTGGCATCTTAAATGCATCCATGCTCTGATTCTCACCAGGGGATCTCACTGCAATATGCTGATGTGTACAAAATTAGTTGCCTTGGCTTGCAAGCTATCTTCAACAATGGACTATGCTCAAACCCTATTTGATAGGGTGCAACATAAGGACGCTTTTGTTTGGAATACGTTGATCAGGGGTTATGCCAACGTGGGTTCTTGCCAAAGGGCTATAATTCATTACAGAAGCATGCACCATAGTGGATTGCTACCAGACAACTATACTTTCCCTTCTGTCATCAGATCATGTGCAGTTATATCTGCGCTACGGGAAGGGACTGAAGTTCACTGCAATGTTGGTAAAAGTGGGTTTGAAGTAGATGTGTTTGTACAGAGTTCTCTAGTTTCCATGTATTCCCGGGCTGGGGATATAATCAGTATGGAGAAAGTATTCGGTCTAATGGGTGCTAAAAACATTGTTCCTTGGACAACAATGGTTGTTGGTTATGTGCAAAATGGGCTTTATGAGCAAGGTATAGGGGTTTTTAAGAAGATGATTTGTTCGAAAACACAGCCAAATGCGGTCACTTTAGCAAGCGTCCTTCCTGCGTGTGCTGACTTGGAATTTTTGAACCTTGGGGAAGTGATCCATCGTATGGAATCAAAGTTGGGGTGGACTCCAATACTTCATTGACAAATTCTTTGATTGCTCTGTATGGGAAATGTGGAAATCTAGATACAGCCAGAGCATTGTTTGATGTAATGGTTGTGAAAAATCTAGTTTCATGGAATGCAATGATTTCAGCATATAGGGCTGGCTATTTGGTCCCGGACTGTTTGGTTTTACCCAAAACCGGACCGTATAACCTGGACCGGGACCAGACTGAGACCGGATAGAAAACAATGCAATCTCATATTCGGGCTTTGATTTGAGGTAAAAAACCGGATAAAGACCGGATAAAAGACCCCCAACACCTAAAATCAAGATAAAATTGGGACCGAACCAGGTCAAGACCGGACCGGATCAAGACCGGACTGTATCCAATCTTTGGTCCTTATATTTCCGAAAAGACCAAACTGGGACCGGATCAATTTGGTCCAATTTAACCGGATCGGACCGTATAGCCACCCCTAGCAGCATATGAGCAGAATAAATTAGGAAGACTTGCAATAAAGATGTTTCAAAGAATGCTGTGTGAGAGGGTCGAATATGACCATATAACTATGGTTAGTATTATTTCCGCCTGCGTTGGTATGGGAGCATTGGGCACTAGGAAATGGTTATATCGGCTAGTGAAAAAGCGAGAGTTGGAGACCAATGTTTAATTCTTGATGCCCTGATTGACATGTATGCAAAATGTGGGAGCATAGAACTGGCAGAGGATGTTTTTCAAAAGTTGCCACGAAAAACAGTTGTGTCTTGGACTTCAATTATTTCGGCTTTGGCATACCATGGACGTGCATTTGATGCTCTCAACTTCTTCTCAACGATGAAACACAAGGGTGTTAGACCGAATAGCTTGACATTCACAGCTGTCTTAAGCGCTTGCAGACATGCTGGTTTAGTAGATGAAGGAAGGAAGCATTTCGAGAGCATGATTAAGGACTACTCCATCGTTCCTGGTATTGAAAAATTTGCTAGCATGGTTGATCTCCATGGAAGAGCATGCCGTTTGACCGAGGCTTACAGGTTCATTGAGATGATGCCAGTGCAGGAAGATGCAAGTGTTTGGGGAGCATTGCTTGGTTCTTGCAGAACTTACGACGATTTTTGAACTAGCTGAGCTCGTTGCAGAGAAGTGGTTGAAGTTTGATCCTCAAGATGTAACTTCGTATGTCATGATGTCTCATGTTTATACAAATGCTGGGAGATCGGAAGATGTTTCGAGGTTGAGAAACTTGATGAGGGAAAGGGAATTGAAAAAGCTGCCTGGTCAGAGTGTTGTCGAGGCAAATTGTCGACTTCATAGGTTTCTAGTAGATTCAAAACCTCGACCTTTTTGGCCTACTGTGTGATCTAAAATGATTATTTACCCTCTGGCACAAAAAGGTTGTATACATATTTCAGACATCCATATATTGGTCCATTCCTTTTCTTTTACTTTGCATTACCTTTAAATGGTTGTTGTGGTAGTCAGTATGACTTCGGATTTGGACGACAACACGATTGATGCCTTTGCGAGGAGAGCCAGGAAGAACTACTGTCATGCTCCTTCAGCCACAGTCATGCATTCTCCATCATTGCTGGATCAGTTAGATCTTTTTCCTTTCCAAAGTATTTTGCACTTCATGCCACGGTATCTCTCAAAGATAGAATTCTCTCATCCATTTATGGGGGTACGTTAGTGAAAGTAGCAGAGGGGCAGTGGGTAACAAGGCCAAGTCCCTTTTTGGGCGGAAAGGCCAAGTCCTTGTTTCTTTCACTACAGATCATAGTCATGACAATTACGTGAACATTATATGCAACTGCAGACTCTGTGATTCTCCCTTCCTATTTTTTTTCTTTGTGATCCCTTCTTTAGTCAGTTTTATATTCTATGGTGATGTATCTTACCTTTTTTCTTCTTATTCATTGCTTATTTCCAACCCTTCTCTATCAGGTGATCTTGATATATTTATCACAAGATGCTCACTTCACCCGCTCGCACCCACCAAGTCCATCCAAGAGTCTAAGAAGCACTTCGTATCTCAACATCTTGTGCCATCTCCCGCTTAGCATATGTCCAAGGTTCTTCTTTTGTCTTTTTTAGCCACTTTACATTTCTTTTTTATGAAATCGTAGCGTCCCATGTTTGGACATTTCATGCTTCTTCGTGTGTGGTTGAACTCACAATCTCCGCAATTAGAAGAATTATGTTTGGTCATCTTGTATATGTTTCTTTTCTATCGTGAAAACGATATGTAATTTAAGCTATAATGTTTCCAGGTATAAGCCACCTTACCGAACTCCACTAGTATACTATATTCCTGCTGACTCTAGAACCCTGCTGCTGAACGCTGGCTTTCTGTTCCAGTAGCATGTAAGGATAGGGTTTTTCTTTCAAATAGTGCCTTTCCTCTCTTAGACATGATTCAGGACCAGTGGGCAAATGCCAGCTTCTTCTTTGTTTGAGTTGTTCTTAGGGGTGGGCAACGGGACTGGACGGGATACCCGTCCCGTTTGAAACGGGTACCCAATCCTATTTGGAGACCAAAATTCATCCCATGTCCCAACCCATATAAGTAAACGGGTACCCATTACCCGTACGGGACGGATAACGGGTACCCATACTACCCATAAATACCCAAAGTTTGAATCACTAAAATTTTAATAAAAGTTTAAACTTAACTTGTACCCCTACTTAACAATCACAATATCCATACCTATATGGATATTACAAAATTCATCCCAAATCACACAATTAAAAATACTCGGTTTACAACCTACAAATTCATGAACAATTACAAGGCTTAGAATAAAGCATTCCAAGCACCCATAACATTAATAACTAAGAAAGTAAGAAGCTGCTGTTAGTTGCAAGTTGGAATTATAAAATTAGTTGCTGTAAAACTAATTTGGGGAACTTCCAACTGGCACGCTGCAGTTTGTTCCAACTAGCAAGCTGCTGGGTGTTCTACAATCTTCTAATTTCGAATTCCAATTCCGCTGATCCCGCTGGCAGCTGCAAGCCTGCAACCTGCAAAAATGAGAATTATTATTGCCATGGCTGGTTGGAACGACAACTGGGCTACGGAGATTATGATTGGCGCAACGATCGAAGAGAATACAGCCTGAGGAGAGATCAGAGGAGTCAAGGCGAGTTGTTGGGCGCTGGTTGCGCGGTGCGCTTTGTCCTTTCAGTTTCAGGCTTTCAGCCTTTATATAATGAATGGGTTTAACGGGTACCCATATTACCCAAATGGGTATTTGCGTGTAACCCGCGGGTACCCATTGTAGTAATGTACAATCCCAAGTCCCGTCCGTTAATAATATTACGAGTATTATGGGTACCCGTAACCCTCAAAAAACGGGACGGGTACGGGTATACCCAAATACCCGTTACCCGTTGCCCACCCCTAGTTGTTCTATTTAAAATGATCTTTCTGTGAATAAGATCTTAATGGGGGAAACTCAAGCAAATCTGCATTGGAAAATAGTTATCGTTTAACACTTACCATTTTTACAGTGTTCCCCAGTTTCTAGCTGTATTATTTGTTGCTCTTATCCTTTTGTGAAATGGAAGGAATTTGAGCTGTGATTTGGTAATTTGTCACCTTCCATTTCTTTAGAGTGGTGGATGTTCTCAAGACCTTAGTTATTTTACTTACAAGAGATATGCATCAATTTGCTAGCATAAGTGTGCTAGGAGATTTGGACAACATGTTTTCCTGCTTTGTTGTTAGTTGTGATCAGTTTGGAGATTAATTTGTATTTCCTTGGGAGCTTTCATAATTAACCTTGTGCATGTAACAGAAAGCATTTTACAACTATATGACTTGTTGTTTTCTATTTGCTTGGTTCAATTGATATCTTCAGTATTCAGACTCGAGTCCCTAAAAGCACTCTGATCATGCAAATGGTCCAAAATTCTTATGTTTGTGATTGTGTTTTGCACCAGCTTATAACTTCGAAGATACTTCTGTTGAAGAAGTTGGAGATTCCTCGGAATCTTTCACCGACCATTAGCATATATTGACTGGAAAGAACAAGGTGTTCTTTCTAGCTTTGATCTTGTGATGATCAAATAAAAAGTGAGTGGCACCTCAGACTTGTGGAATGCATTATTTGAAATTTTGCAGTACTTACATATTTGCTTCTATCTCGAAAATGACATTACAATTACATGTGGTATGTTACTCAGAGTCTTATATAGTTGTATCTCCAAGTTGTGCCCAGACTTAATGCACCTATAGTTCCCAAGGATTGTGTTCCATGCCACAAATATAAAGATTGAAGATAACTCTGCTGTCCCCACCTCCAGTTGAGGTTCCACCTCGTGAGGATCGTAATTTGTAAGTCCTGATTGAGGGTGTTCCGACGGTGGTTGCTCCTCATGGCAAATCGTTTGACAGTCTTTCGAGAGTGGAAAAGTGCACAATCCATCATTGGCTTCCATGGGGCCTCTCCCCATACTAGTTCTATGAAAGAAAACAGTGGGAGGAGCAACAAGAATATACTGATAAGAAGAAGCTGCTTATGCCTTTGGAGAGTAAACCTAGCCGTAATCGTGAACAAATATAAGGGGAGATGCTTGTAGAAAGAAGCTCTTCTGGATTAACCAAACCAGAAGTCAACCTCCAGTCCAATCTTTGAGATGCCTTTACGAAACCCTTGGAATATGTAAGTACATGCATTATGCAGTTGTGGGTTCATTTATCTGCCGCTGTCATTTCAACGAAGGTCTAGTTTTGTTGATTTATAGATAGAAGTTTCGTATCTAAAGTTGTTGCTTCGTATTCGAATGTGATTGATCGGTTTACCGTTTATGATATTCTCGGATTCAACTCTTTAAACAGGTACTATGGATTGAGTTGTCCCGCAATTTCAGTTTACCACTATGCACATCAATAAGCGCCTTGGCGGTGGCGAGAAATGGTCTACCCAAAATCAAAGGCACATCCACATCCTCATTTATATCCAGAATAACAAAGTCAACAGGATATGTGAATGCACCTACATTAACAAGCAGATCCTCTACGATACCCCTAGGATGCACAATGGAACGGTCAGCTAACTGAATGCTCATCCTAGTAGCTCTAGGTTCACCTAGGTCTAGCTTTTTAAAAAATTTGTAGGGCATGACATTTATGCTAGCGCCTAGGTCCACCAAGGACTTTCCTACATGCATGCTGCCAATAACAAGAGGGATAGTAAAACTCCCTGGGTCTTTACGCTTCTCAGGTAGCTTGTTCTGCAGGATAGAAGACCACTCCTCGCTTAGCATCTGTCGAAAGATCCCCAAGTTTCTTCTTGTTGGTGAGGAGATCCTTCATGACCTTGGCGTACTTGGGCATCTTCGACAGTGCCTCCACGAATGGCATGCTGATGTTGACCTGCTTCAACATTGCCATGAACTTGGCAAACTCAGTCTCCAGCTTATCTTTATGTAGGCGAGTGGGGAAGGGAAGTTGGGGTACATGCTCCTTAACCACTGGTTGTGGCTGGGGAGCAGGTGCTTCTTTTTCCATCCCCACTTCTGCATTGTCAGCCGAAAGTGTTGAAGCAGGTGGTGGCTCTTCTTGCCCAGTCTGGGCATGAGAGGTGGACTTGCCACTCCTAGTAGTGATGGCATCCAACTGCTGGTGCTTGTGAGGCTCACGAGGGTTCGGAATGGTGGTGGCAGGCAGAGTCCCCGGTGCTCTGGTAGTATTTTGGAGAGCTACGCCACCAATCTGATTTTGTAGATCTTGCAAAATGGCACCTTGGTTCCTCTGTCCTGCCTCCAGTGAGGCTATGTTCTGGTTCATCCTCGTGAAATTCGCCTGGCTGGTGGTCATGAATGCCTGCAAAATATTTTTCAGCTCCGTCATTTGATTATCTGGAGCTGCATCTGCTGGTGGCTGGGCATACTGACGCTGGGGCTGCTGAAATGGTTGCCCTTGCCTAGGCTGGTAAGGCTGCTGCTATGGAACTGGCCCCTGTCTGGCATGGAAAGGCTGCCTCTGCCAAAAACCACCAGCTGGTGCTGGGAAACCAGGTGGTTTGGTGGTGTTACCATTCCAAGAAAAGTTGGGATGTTGGCGCCACCCCTCATTGTATGTATTACTGTATGGATCGAGGCGCCGAGCATTGGCG